TCCTCACAAGGATGTGCTCACTGCTGCTTTGAACTTATTCCCTTGAAAGAGTCTTGTGTAAATAATTTTTATTTTTTATTTTCATTTCTCCTAATACCTTTTTTAGGATCAGATTTATTCATTAAGAAAGGGATCAAGTCATTTTAAATATTGACAAAAAAGTTAGTTCAAAATGTTCAATGTACACCTGTAAAGATTTCAGTTCTTATTTAGCAGTATGGTTTAATTCTACATATAGCTCTTATAGATTGTTAAATTTTAATAGGATATTTGGCATGTGAAAGCAGATATCTTTACACATATAAAAATGTTAATCATCTTTAAGTTGGCCTGTATCTCTTTAAAAAAAAAGAATTCTCAATTCACTGAGTTCCAATCTCCAAGGAAACCTGGAGACCAGTTCAGTTGAAATTCAGTTTTAAAAACTGGACATTTCAATAACTAATGTCTGAGAATAGTTTGGAAATTTGAAGCTTTGAAAGTTGGCAAATTGATTACTTGAAGAAGTATCAAGAATGAAAGATTGTGGAGGTTTGTTTTCCTTGTACATTGTTTTGTTACTTTGTATTAACACTTCTCAGTTAACCCAGCAACACTAATTACTGTATTTTAATGAAGAAAGATTTTGTGAAACGGTTGAAGAAATTTAAGTTCAGAAACAACATGCCTTCAACTCTCAAATTTGAAAAGTCCATTCAAATTTGACAACAGTCAGATGCCATTTGTCGGTTTCTTCCCTCTTCTTTCATTAAGCTGTGCAAGGCTGGTGGTCACTTTTAGTTACCAAGGAAGAATTTCATGCCTCACCAAGATGCCTGTAAAAGTCATACTAGCATACGTTTGATTTGTATAGTAATCTGTTATTAACAAAGTTGGGTCCTAGTGGAAAGATAAAGGATATTCTTTCCTCAGTTTTTATACCTTTCAGAAATTTTGTTCTTTGATTTCAAAAGTGAGTGGCAAATGATTGATTTCTAAAAAGTCAAACCATACAGAAACTTGTAACACAAAAGATGAAAGCTCTCAAACCAGTGCTGTCAGTTTCTACCCTATAATTTCAATCCCAAACTAAGGGTATGTTTTGTTTGTCCCCATCATATATGAACGTAAGTTGTTTTACAAAAAAGAATCATATTATAACAGATTTATTTGCATTCTTCTTTAAAAAAATTATCTGTACTTTCTATCAGTTTGTACAGAATCTACCTCATTTTACAAGCCTGTTTAGCAGTTTTAGAATATATGGTAATTTTATCTTTGTTGATTTATGATTGATTACAAAAAGGAAAAAACACCTGAGTTCAAATTTTCCCTTTCACTTCTATCCTGCTCAGTTTTACATAAAACTTAGTTATTATTATTTCAAATTAAATATTCCTTATTTTGAAAGCTCCAGTGAACTAAATGATGAGAAAATAAAAGCAAACAATATGAATTTGAATTAATGTTTAGGTTTATGTATTTAGACTATCTGAAAAAATAACAGTGTTTTAAAATTTTTTTAAAGGCCTGACGTGTCCATGGTGGTGGTTTTTTTAATGTTTTATATATTTTTAATAATTACGCCTTTTAATGTGTAACAGAGCTGGTTTGGAATCTTTGCTCATCCAGGAATGAGGTGTCTTTCCACTTAGGAGGATTTTCTTTTACATCCTGTTGTACATTTTGTAGTTTGTTGCACACAGGTCTTTTTTGGTTGATTCTTTTAGGTTTTTTTGATAGTATATATTTTATGCAATTGATCATTAACAATGTCTTTATATTTTATATTTCATGTTGGGACAAATTCCACAGTGCAGGCTTCCATAGGAGAAATGTTAGACCTTTGCGTGGTGTGCCCTGTGATTTGCAGTACTGCCTTCCTAAGCAGTTGAAACTGACTGCCACGTACTCCTCAGGCTTGCCAGGGTAGACACACCCTTCATGTTGCTACTGGCCATTATGATGCCATAATCATGGTTACAGCAGCAGACTCTGTAGCGTAGTGAACTCCACCCAGTTTGTACTGATAGGAGACTTAAATAGATGTCAGTTAGATGTGTTTTTCTTTGATGACTAATACTTAGGGATTTTAGAATACTTCAAACAAGACAAACAGAATAATTAACTTCATTGAGTAATAGATGCCTATTATTTGAGAAAGATTAATTTTTTCCAAAAGTAGAATGTCTAGTACTAGAAATTAGGGAGCTGAAATATCCAGCTCCCCAAACTCCAGTCCTTCATATTAGAGAAGATTCTATAGAGTTATTTGCTTTATTTTTTTTTAATGTTTTTAATACTTCCTCAACTAGCAGTCGAAGAAATGGAAATTAAGGTAACTGGATAATATTTTAATGTATTAAATTGCAATTTTTTAAAGCATTGTTGATACACATGGCCTACATTAATTTCAAATGTGTTACCCACATTATTAAATCCTCACCCAGAAGATGTTACAGAATCATTACCTATATTCTCCATGTTGTAATACCATCCCTGTGACCAACTTACATTTTGATTGTAAATTTTTATAGAGTTATTTGCTTTCATTGTCTTTGTGCCAAAGAAAATTAGTCCTTTATTTCTGTACTTTAAGGTTCTGTAAGAACAGTTGATTTTTATGTCTTTCTTTGACTCTAAGGTAATTTCATTCATTTCTAGGCATGAGAAGGTCTTAAATATTATATGCCTAATGTATGTAACTGCTCTAGAAAAGGAAAATTCATTTATTGTTAATTCATTATGATATGTACTGTGCTATGTACTCTCATTTAATTCTTAAAGCAATTTTACGAGGTAGGTACTACTGTTATCCCAATTTCATAGAAGAGAAACAGTCTTAAGGAGTTTAAGTATTAAGTGACTTGCTCAGGGTTATACAACTAGTCAAGGGTAGACTTTAAGACTGAGCCAAGATCTTTTTAGTACAAATGAATGACACTTAATTTTGCTTGGCTATTTACTCCTTTTTGTCAGTAATCCACTTACAAGTGGGAAATCACTTTTCCTGTTTATCACTCAATATCCTTGAATGTTTCATTTTCCATAATGTTTTCCCATAGGTGTTAGGTTTGCTCTAGTTTTTTTGGCTGTCATTGTAACTTTTTCTCGCTTTCTGGAGTATTTGAAAATATTTAAAAAGATTTCTTAGTCTTGAAATCTTCCTCTTGGTGTTTAGTCCTATGAGCCCCTATAACTGAAAATTGGGCTATGGTAGATGTTCATGAATCTTAGATATTATTATTAGATAATTTTTATGTTACTGTTACTCTTTTTCCTATCTTAGTGATTGACATCACAGTATTCTTGGTCATCCAAGCCAGAAATACAGCAGTCATTTTTTACTTTTATCCATTCATTCATTTTACTGGTTAATGCAGTGTAAAAAAAAGTACTCATTGAGTGCCATTCAACAGTTTTAGTTGCGGGAGGTCAGGCAGTGAATATGGCAGAGAAGGTTACTGCTTTTTTGGTACTTGAATTCTAGTAAAGGGACTTTATTGTCTATTGTACAATAGACAATAAATAGGCTAATGAAGTAATTTCACTTACTGGCAACTCAAATATTTTACAAAAATAAGTGATTTGAGAGATGGTGAAAAGTTGGTCCTATAAATGGAGTGTGTGTTAGTCCAGGTCCTCTGAGAAACATGTCACAACAGTATTAAATGTGCCAAGGTTTGGTAAAATACACATAATCTGAAATACACTATTTTAACCATTCTTAAGTGTAGAGTTTGGCATTAAGTACATTCACATTGTTGTGCAACCATACCATACCATACAACTCTGCCTTTCTAAGTGTACTATTCAGAACAACCATCACGGCAGTCAGTTTTAAAACACTATCAGTTCACCAAAAATAAACTCTACACTTTTTGGCTAACACAGCTCAATCCTCCTATTAGCCCCAGTCCAAGGCAGTCACTAATCTGACATTGGCTTTAAAGGGACGTTTACAATATGTGATCTTTGTGACTGATTTCATTTACTTAGTATACTGTTTTTGAGGTTGGCATCATGTTGTAGTTTGAATCAGTACTTCATTTCTCTTAGTAAGTAATATCCTATTGGGTTTTATTTATTCATCAGTTGACAGATACTTCTTTACACTTTTTGGCTATTATGACTAAAGGTTTTATGAATATTTATGGCTACACCATTCTACATTCTCACCAGCAGTGTGTGAGGGTTCCAGTTTCTTTACATCCTTGCTAACACTTGTTATTATCTGTATTTTTTATTATACACATCCTAGTGGGTCTCTCTTGAATCTTAAGTCCCATGTACCTGTGCCTTATCATTGTGACTTGTTTTCTTGGGTTTAACTGTGGTGATTCTTGTCTGCCTGGCTGGCTGCCTCTTGTCATTTGCTTATGGCAGCGCCCACATGTTCACCCAGCTTTGTGGTCCTCCTTTACTGCTGACCTTACTGAACGCCAGGCAGGCTGCAATGGCTGATCTTAGATACAGCACTGAATTCATGCTATTTCATTATTTATAGTAATCCATCTAGCATAGTAATCATCTAAATGTTCAGAAAATATTTAATATAATTACCACTTTAAAATATGATACCAGGAGAAAAACACTGTTGATGAGTAAAAGTCTTTCACATTCTAATCCTTTTATCTATTTTTACCATAGTAGGTTTTGAAGAAATTATTCGATTTTGATCAAATATGTTGCTGAAGGTAGGAAGATAATAAATAAAATAATACAGATAAAAAAAAACCAGTTATTGGTTCATAGAAGTTTTCAAGTAGGCTTATGTTCTGTGATCTTTACTGTATTTGTAAAAATCGGGTATATGGGTAGAGAAAAACGTTTATAAGAACAGTAAAATGACTCATTACAGCAATTTTATATCCTGATGAGGAAAAGGTCCTTATGCCCTATTATAGGAATGTTCTCAGTGGAATCTGAGAACTCTTCAGTGAAGTAGTGTGATAAAAACACTGACAATCTTGTAAATATCCAATTATGTCTTCTAGGCCTTCCTTAAAGCTTCCCACGTCTCAACGGACTCCTGAATATAACAAACCCTATACCTTAACAGTCGATGTGAAGAGGGAGATTCCTCCTGATGCCCAAAGACACAGGAGAGCCTGAAAGGGACCCTCGTGCACCCAGGCCCACTGGGGCAGCCAGAAGGGTTCCTGCAGGAGTTGAGATGATAAATAGTAAAGTGGGGAGTGAATCCTCTCATTTGTGTGATGATTCTCAGAAACAAGAGAAGGACATGAATGGTAACCACCAAGAGCAAGAAAAAAGTGTTGCTGTGAGGAAAAAACGCAAAAGCCAGCAGGCTGGCCCTTCATACATGCAGAATTGTGTTAAAGAGAACCAGGGAATATCGGGATTCAGGCAACACCTAGAAACACCAAGTGACGAAGATAATGATTCCTCTTTCAGTGATTGTCTTTCTTCTCCTTCATCTAGTCTGCATTTTGGGGATTCTGATACTGTGACTTCAGATGAGGATAAAGAAGTCACTGTAAGACATTCCCAGGGAATACTGAATGCTCAAAGTAGAACTCACAGTGCGCCATCACAAAAGTGGCCTTGCACCGAGACCAAATCAGTTTCAGGATTGTTAATGAAAAGACCCTGTTTTCATGGCAGTTCGTTAAGGAAACTTCCCTGCAGAAAGAGGTTTGTAAAAAAGAATTCCTCACAGAGGACACGGAAACAAAAAGAGAGGATATTAATGCAGAGGAAGAAACGAGAAGTGCTACCTCAAAGAAAATATGCATTGCTCCCTAGTTCTAGTAGTTCCAGTGAGAGTGAGCTCAGCAGGGAGTCCTCTCCCCGCCCACCACCTGCAGGAGAACATGTGTTTGTTTCTGTCGCTGAAAACCACCAGGACAATCCACCTTTTCCTTCAGGTAAAAATGTTTCTCGAGTTGAGTAAAACGTGGGGGCTATTGCAGCGTGCCTGTGCTTATTTCCTTTACTTTTTAGTGATTTCATTGCATTTAGAAGGAATGACGACTTGTTACCTTTTATTTTTTAGTCATATAAATATCAACAGTAGTCCTGAACCATGACTAACCATAATTCTCAGACACAGATTTTTTAAAACTTTTAACAAGATTTAAAATTCTCCGACAAAAAAGCCAGAGTAGTTTTCTCAAGAAAAATCATTTTACCATTGTATACATACAGGATGTTTCATGAGTTTGTGATTTATGGTATTTTTTTTTCCTATAGAGCTTCTTTAGTTTGGTTATCTTTTATGAATACATTTTCAGATTGCTGTGTGATGGATTTCTTTCATATTCAACCACAGTAAGAACAATTCCAGTCTCTAAAAAAGACTGCTTAATATAATTTTTTATTTAAGTACTCGATTTTTAATGTTCTGATCTTTATAACTGAAAAATAATTCCAAGTATTTGAGCAGTAACTTTTGTTGTTTTCAAACCAGAACACAAGTTTTTAGGCCAACACTGCTCAGTAGAACATGTAATTAATCAGTTAATTTAAATTGATAAGAGGATTAGCTTGATTGCATTACCCCCCAACAGTAGTTATATTTAACTAGAAAAAATGTATGTGCAGGCAGTCTCTGAAGTATAAGTATGTTCCTTACCATTTTTACAGTTTGTTGTAATTGAAAGGACGTTGATGAAGTGAACATTGAGGAGTGAAGTCTGGACTGAGGGGAAAGATTCATTTCTTGTGGAAGTCTAAGGAAATGGGGGACAAGGAGAGCTGCTTAAAGGGCTAGTATCACGGCTTCTAACACAGACCCAGAGGTTTCCCGGTCTCTGCCTGATTGCCCGCATGTGATGGGCAGAGCCTGTTAGTCTGCTATGTCAATAGGCCATTTCTCCCTCTTTCCTCTCTCCTTTTATTCAGACCCCTTCCTTTTCCAAGACTCCCTTTTCTCTATTTCTTTTTCTATCCTAGCTGGAATCCTAAAACCAGTAACATTGTTCTTAATTTTAGTCTTGGCCATGTCAGTTCATACCTTTTAACCTACCCAAATATTTGTTTTAAAAAGAGCTCATTGAGATCCCCTACAGCTGGGGGGAAGTTAGAGCAACCATTCCCTGAGGTCTCTTGAGAAGGAAGGAGATGAGAATAGGAATTGTCACACTTCACCCTTTTCTGAGGTGCTTAACATGTGAAGACTTTAGTTTTGGGAGAGGAATCAGCAGAGCCCACTTTGTGCTTGAAATTAGTGAGGCAGGATGCTTGGTGATGTGCAGCAGACGTTCCAAGGAGCTGATATGTGTAGGAGGCATGAGAATAGAGTAAATGCAGGTGAGTATCAGTGTCTGTTTCCAAGAACAAAAGAATTCATATTTTTAGAAGTATTCAAGATAAATTCCAAGTCTATAATATCTTTTAAAATTTTGTTTAATACTTACTGTAGCATGTTTTTTACTCTCTCTCTTTGAAGAATTACTTTATTTCCACTACATTATTTTCAGACACTCTTAAATGCTTGTCTCTTTTTTAAAATAAAAAAAGAGATAAAATAAAAAATAAAAGTTTAACTCTTTTTCTTAGGTCCCAGTGTTATTACCCAGAAATAATCAGTGAACAATTTCATATCTCCTTCAAAAAATGTGAAAATATATGTAAGGGTAAATAGATGTGGGTTAAAAAAAATATCAACATGTATAGTTTTCCCATTTGTTTTTAAACACCTGCATAGCATTCCCTTTGTATGGCTGTATAATGTATTTTGTTGGTGAATATTTGATGAATATTTTGTAGGTGAAAATCAGCTTCTCTTGATGAGTATTTGCTGCATTGAGCAGCCTTGTACACACATTTTTGCACACCTCTGCAAGCATAGCTTAAGGAATAATTTCTAAAAGTATATCAAAGGATAATGTACTTAAAACTTTTGTAGCTAACACTGATGGACATTGACTGCTGGAGCATGAGGGAGGGGGTCTCAATAATATGTTTGAATGTAGTAACAATATTGCTCATGTGAAACCTTCCTAAGATTGTATATCAGTCGTACCTGAATAAAAAATTAAAATAAAAAAAAAACTGCTGGCTATTGTTACCAGAATGCCCTCAAAGGAATTTGCATCATGTTCCTTTATCACCTAATAGTGGGTGATGTCATGATGATAAAAAAAATACCTAGCATTTTTTGGGTATTTACTCTGTGCTGGTAATGTTCTAAATGTTTTATATATATTCTCATTTAATCCTTCCAACATTCTTATGAGTGTTCTGTTACCATCACCTTCATATTACAGATGAAGCATTTGGAAAACCTTTTAAGAATGATTTATATTCAGAATAGTTAAACTGAAATATTGATGGGACTTAGCTCTATTATCAAGAAATCTTAGCTCTCAGAAAATAGAGTTCCTTAGATTCTTAAGAGGTTAGGTTTTCTTCTAGATATGTTTTTAATGCTGGCTGAATTATACTGAGTATGGTTTATGTTTTACTGTATGTTATGGATTAGGAGATGGTTGGAATATCTCAAATTTTAATTACATTTATATATTAATTTTAATAATATGATTTAGATGTATGGGTATTAGTTACTCTAGAGCTGTTAGGGCAACTTTTTCATACACTAATCATCAACACTTGGTAGGTGTTGCTATAGTTAACTGATGGAAAGAATGTTTTACATGTTAAATGCTTTGTTGTATCTGCAAAGCCTAAGGTACAATAGTTGGCCATAATTAACTGGTTTTACCAAATTAACTAACATTGAGTTATTTAAGTCAGTACTTTACAATGTATAACAAACATAAGTTCATCTGTGTAATGACTAGCCTTCTGGGAAATCCCTGTTTGCCTCTTGCATCATCATTATTAATCACCTGTGAAATTTATCAGACTCCGTATTCACACCTAGAAAACCACCATAATCTGTGACCTGGGTTGTCAGACATGGACTGATTCCCAGCTGCTCAGGAGGCTGAGAATTTATACATCCTTTTTTGTTCATGATAATGTTTTCTAAGAACTTCAAATATTTAAATACGTCCCAGTAGAAGCTCAGTTTGAGAGCAGATGTTTAATTTCAGTAAATAGAAGCTAAGTTTGAGAGATGTTAATTTTAGTGACATATGTCTGTGAGCTTTATGTGAACTGCTGTTAACACTTTTATTTTATAGTGCAATAGCCTTGGGTTTCCCAATTATTTGTGGATATGAGGACCTCTTCATTAACTTTAATTAGTTTAGCATTTATAGATTATTTCTCTTCCAGACTTGAAGGGAATGTAAATACCACATATGCCACAATTAAGAGAGCCTGACGGTATCAGTCCCATTCTCCTATTGAGTAGAAAAATACATTCCGGCTACCTTGAATTATACAATTTTAGGGCTGTGAAAACAGATATATGTCTTGTAATGAAATTACTAATTTACTTACATATAAAAAGTATTGAATAAATGCTAGTTTAGGAATATTACTTATTCAGTACCCACATTTCCTGATGATAATTTTGTTCACACAGTGAGACGTCAGTGACTCAGTAATTGCTAGAACCATTTTTAAGTCAGCAAACACAGTTTTCAGGAGCATATCATCCTCATCTGCTTTGTGTGAGACATAGCACTTGCTGACTCCAAGAGTGATGCTGTCATTGGAAATTTTATCCCAAACTACAAATACCAGTTAACCTTATGTAAGACTGGGAAGTCCCAATTTCCCAGGGTTTTAAAAAAATCCAATAGCTGTATATTTTTATTTATGTCTTTTAAGAAAAAGTATCCAACAGCTGTATATTCATATTTTTCAAGTGTACTGTATATTGTACAGAGTTTTAAGTGTTTTAAAAGTTTGCATAAGATATTCAGTTCTTGGAGTTGTAAGTCTTAATAGTAGGAATTATGTCTGAATCTGTGAATATTTCTTTTTCTCCTTTTCCAAAAATATCATTTGTAGAGTTATTTTTTAATATCTTTATGTGAAAAATTTCACAAAGAATACAGAAGTATACAATCAAATCGACATTTCATAATCGAACTTCATTTTCTGACATTTTGACATTCTTATTTCACCTCTGACTCCCCCTCTTTCTTTTCTGGAAAATTTCAGAACAGTTTCCAGGCATCATACCCTTTAGTTTGTTTTTTATACTGCATGTTTCCTGCAAACTAGTAGTTAGATGGAAAAGCTTGATTTAATTCAGCTTCAGTTTAACACTTTCTTGGTGGAGCTGTGTACTTTGTGCTGCATCACATGTTAAAATTACTAGAGGGCTCAGATGGTGACATCCTGATCCATCCATTATAAAGTTTCCCATCAGCCATTTCATGTCATATTTTTAACAGCTTTGATGATTTGCCTAGATCCATTATTTCATTAGAGTTGTAAAATGTTGAGTTTCTAATGCTATCATTCTGCTTAAATTTCTTAATTGAGGAAGAGTTCTTTCATTAACTAATTGGTTACTCTGAAATTCAGTCTGTGTGAGAAATGCAGGATGAATAGTTAATTCTTTACCTTCACTTACCATTTTTGACAATGAATTGGTACTCTAGAACTATCTAAAGAGGTTTTTCACTTTCAAGTATCATTATGAACTCACAGGTTTTAGCCTAGCTGGTATGTTGCAATCTTTTCATTCTTTTTGATGCTCAGGTAGTTTCATCTTTGGCCAATGGGATCATGTCAAGTTGTGTCCGTGTCCTTCTCCCACCCCAGTAGTTTCTGATCACTTCCTCACTCTCTGATCAACAAGACAGTCCAGATTCATCCTTTACATTTCCTGCCCCAAACCTGCAAACAACCATCTCTTTAAGTACTCCTGATTTCTTTTTATTGAGAAATGATATTTAGATGCTGTTGACTGAGAATTAAATGAATGTAAATGAAATGTTTGCAGTTTTTATTAACAGTAATTTTAGTGAATATAACACAGGATTTTTGTGTGGTTCCTTTT